GAAGTTCTCTGTCAATATACTGCTACAAACGTTTTTGAATTATCTTCAGTAAGATCTTACTTGCGTGCGATATTAATGATATTGTTCTATAATTTCCACAATCTGTGGGATCACCTTTCTTTGGAATGGGTACAAATATGGATCTCTTCCAGTCAGTTGGCCAGGTAATATTAGTACATTAAAATATTGTGTGGAGTGGGAGATGGTTATAAATGGTGGGTAACCCCAGATGACAGAACAGAGCTGCCCCATAGGGTTTACTAGGCTGAAATCTTTACTAACACAGATCACTAGGTTTTTCTCCCTCAGAGCTACTGGGAGAGTTTGAACCTCTAGCCTTTCTGTTAGCAGCCGAGTGCTTAACCGTTTGCACCACCAGGACTCCTTTGTCTGATGGTAGAGGATTCCTTATTTTTGTTGCTGCAGCAAGCCGTACTAAAATGAACGACAGCCCCATCACCACCATTTTCCAAAACAAATGAAATCATCATTTTTGTCTTGGTTTTGGTTGTAGTAATAACATTATGTGCCAGTGACACTCTTGCCAATTAAAATTTATCATGTAATATTAGTACATTAAAATATTATTCAAAATATTTTAAAAACTGACATTGCCTCTTTCAGGAAGCCTCTAAGATGGTCACTTATTCCAATAATACTACCTATGAATATCATTAAGTGTGAAATAAATCATACTCAAATTGACAAACACTTACATGAAATATTGGGAACAAGAAATGCACAGAGACAAAATGTTTGCATGCACCTTCCTGTTTTGAAAGCTTTCCTTCCTTTGCTGGCTCATTCACCCTGCTGGGAACTTCTAAGAGCAGGGACTTTGCCTTATTTGTCTCTGTACTCCTAGGGCCTGTTGTTGTTGTTGTTATGTGCCATCGAGTCAGATCCAACTCATAACGACCTCTCCTTGGGTTTCCGAAGTGATATCACTATGGAAGTAGATTGCACAATCTTCCTTCCGAGTAGTGGTTGGTGGTTTTGAACCACCAGCCTTCTGGTTAGCAGTCAAATGCCTTAGGCACTACACTACCAGAGCTCCTGGAATAGTAAATATTTACATCAATTGAAAGCCAGACCTCTAAGGAGAGAGGAAGGGGAAAGGTAAGAGTCATCCAAAAATCTCAATTTCTTTTGTGTGTACAGAAAGGTACAAGTGTTAGTGTGGATATGGAGCAACCAGAGTAATTATTCATTGCTTAGTACAGTGTAGATTGGTACAACCACCTTGGAAAATGGTTGGGCTGCTTCTACCAAAGCCAAGTATCATACATACACCTTACCTCAACTAACCCACTGCTGTCCAGTTGGTTCCAACTCAACTCCAACATAAATCTCTGTACAATGTTCACTAAAAGACATGTACAAGAATGTTCATATCTTCCCTGTTCATGGTAGCTACAACACTGTGTCCATCTGCAGCAGAGTGGATAAGTCCATGTGCACATTCACAACATGGAAA